ATTCGTCATAAGATATTTGTCGTGCATAATTTGAATCGGCAAACGAGACACATAGACGATTACCTAAGTTCTTTTTACTGATCCGTCGGTAGCTAAATGAAGGGAAATGAATAGGTGTCTCTGCTTGATGTCACGGACAAATTCAATTTTAAATTACCTTGCCTCAAACCTGTGGCGCAGAGTGGGGGGAAACGCCTGAGCCTGTCGGACATTTTCTTTGTGACGATCATTGCGTACTGCGTACTTACCAGAAATAGATAGGTAGCCTGTAGCCTACCTTAGTCTGGACTGGGCGTTGAGGTGCACCCCACCCGTTCAGCGAATTGTGCTGGTTGTCTACGACTGCCCTTCTCGACCGTTTGAGACTCGACAGTAACCTAGTAGGTACGGATATCCATAAAGTACAGGTTAACGTCTCAGGACCAAAACAGTCTCAGCTATTCATTAACATTTGAGCATCACCATCCATGTCAATGATCAGGCCAGTTACTGAAAGTTTCCTCTCCTGACCGCAGAACGTGCCCCAGTCCAATGCTACTGGCTAATAGAGAATGTGTTGGCTCTCATTTCAGAGGGTCATCTATCCTGGATTATTAACGCCAATATCCTGCCACACACGTCACTATCACTAATTCTATGATCGAATAACGGCACACTTTTGATCTCACATCCCATTTACACAATACACATTTCCCTGTGGCTATACATGATAGATTTTAGTGCAGCCCCGGACTTACCTGGCCTTTGGATGGAAAGTTGGACGGGTTGAGTAGGATCAACGCTTCCATATCCATCGAATTTCATTGAGGTTCGTGTCGCACTCGGGATCGGCAAGTGCAGAGACCAGAGAGGCACGGTTTGACATAGCTTCAGTAATATTCTTCACTCTTCCACAGTCATGGTTAGATCTCTTCGCAGAAAGAGCATAAAAGTTTCACTTATTGAGGTAGGGAAACACCTGTTCTCTGTAATTTCTGATACATCTTAAGATATGGCTGAGCAACAGTAATCGATAGAACCAGCTCTGATGACCTGATCTTTTCTGTTCAACTTGAGGGGGCTTGACTGTCATTAACCGTACGTGTCTGAGGTACGTAGTAGTACTCGTCAACTTAGCCGGACGGACAACGACCGAATGCAATATATCATCTCAGTCAGGACCATTGTCGACTGGAGTCCGTGATAGATAACTATCGACCTAGGGCATGTTCCTGCGGCTTGGCAACTTGGCTCCCATTCAAGCCCCACTTTCCGTGAGTAGACCAACGGCACCCCTCCTGCCACTGAATAACAATGCAATTAATACCTGTTTACTTGAGGACATGAAGGGACCAACCCCGAGGATTGGAAAGGGTTGATTGGCTGGCTTGATATTGTGTGGCATCCACCGCCTCAGTCGAAACAGTAAATTAAGGCAAGCCACCGTTGGCCCCACTGGTCCCTAGGTAATCTTGCAGATGACGGGTAGCCCCTTGTCCCTCGTCGTTCGAAGAGAGCAGTGATAACTCTCAAACAAAAGTTCGGCAATCAGTACAACCATGATTCTGATGATCCTTTCCTGTGCTTTGCACAAGTTCAAAGAGCTGTGGAACTTTCCGTACTCTGTAATATAAAGTTGAATGTGCACTAATAGTCTTACACCTGGTATCACAATTACTTCAGCATAGTAATGTGAAATCAGTGTCGCCATCCGCCTCAGGATCCATTATAGGGAGCAGCGCGGGTTCTGGCTATGGCGGTAATAATAGAGATCGTAATGTCGGTCCGCTGGCGAGTTTAGATAGAATCTAGAATCGCGTCTTGCTACATGATTGTGGTTCTGGTCCGACAGATCAACAAGCCCTAATTTCGCAATAGATCATCAGAACCATCAGATCGCGAACGAGTCTTATGTAGATAGGTGCTATAGTAGGGCTCATCCACCAAGGAGGGGTATATCTGTTGAAGAAGCAATTGGATCTGACAGTAGATGACTGAAACGAACCAAGAATGCTCTTCAGAGGGATGATTGGAGGGCTATTGTTATGAAGTACGGAGTACCTCCTACCTTAACATACTAAATACTATTTTCAAGGTCAAGAGTGAGTCTAAAACCTATCCCTGAACATTCAAATATTTGGTTCAAGGATGATCGGGAACTCAGGTCATGTACGACAGCAGGTTCGGGAGACAATTGGAAGCCATGTGTACACACAACAGGTGATAAATGATACTTCGATACATACATGTCGAGGTGTCCGCGGGCCCCTTACGGAGCTAGTCACGGCAAGTAGGTAGGTAGGCGACTTGTAATAAGAAGAACAGCGGAGCGGTGACTAGGTAGAATTAACCTTACGAATCGGACAAAGCAATGACGATGTACAATCTATTCTGCAGTCCTAGACAGTCAGTAGGCACAAATATTATTATTATTGCGTGGCCACAGGCCAGAACAATTCTATGTTTTCGGCTGCTTGGTCGATACTTGCCTATAGAGGAAAGGGTGTTCGTCTCCGCCGTTAGACTAATCGCTTGGAGAATGGAGATCCATCGCAGGGGCTCGGGTCCGGCTTACCAGAAGTTAGAAACCTAGAAATAATCAGAAAAGCCGTTGAGATGTGAACTCGATCGTCTACCTTCGAAACGGTATGCCTGACGCTGGCAAAAGTATATATATGTTCTCAATATTGTTGCCTGTCAGCAGAAGCAGTTAATGCTCTCAAGATCTCTCCATGTTATCATATATTAATTTACACATTGGATTAGTTGTACCCATTGCCCTCAGTCTGTGACTTTATTTGTATTTGACTATCCGTATCTGCAAGACTCATCATTCAGCATAAACAGTCATTGATGCACGATTGTCAGTACTACCACCATAGTTAATCAGCCAATTCTTCAAGACTCGAAGTAGAAAGATTTTTTGGGGCAACAAGCAGGACGATGAGGTTTGTCAGGTAGGAAATCAAGCAGATATAGAGACATACAAAGGGAAATTACTGGTTAAGATAAAAGAGGGGAAAAGAACAGATAGATAATTTAATGGGTAGGGATTTCATTCAAAACTTAAAGGACAATCACTAACGGTCTGGTTCGCATACCGGGGTTCCCGGTATGTAGTACAAGTCTAAGTGCAGAAAGGGCTTAGACTCGCTTCTCTTTTACTTAGGTCGCCTATGGTCCTCTAGCTGCCCCTCTTATTTCCCCTCGTTTTATCTTTGTCATGAATAATCTCATCGTCAGATCTCCAATCGTCTTCATATGCGCAGAAAGCGTCTTAAGGTGGGATTGGCAAGAAATAAAGATCAACGACGTTTTAAGATACTCGAATGGACGGAGCACAGAGGTGCTTAGCCCTTCCAAGCCTCGTCCGTACTCCCGTTCCATGCAGATGGAAGCTAACTTGATCGCTTTATTTCTCAAGCTGACTGTTGGCTGCTGTAATCTCTTGCTGTCTTTGCGAACATGCTAAACATTCATCAAATGATTAAACCCAGTCTCCCAAACCAAAAACATCGGGCTCGAACGGTCTGAGAGGTTTGACCGCCAGAGCAGGCTTTGATTAAAGTATCTAGTACCCCGGGTGTGGAACCCGTTATAGCTACTCGAAAGAGTCGGGAGTACTCTTACCTAGTGTTAGAGACTGGGTACCAAGTAATAATAAAAATATTAGAATATAATCAGAGAAATAAGCAATGGACCCTTCTACCTACCCCATCCATGTCCACGAATTGCTCCTCAAAATGAAAGGCACTCCTAGGGGATAGAAAATAGAAATCCTTCTACAGTGCTAGCATGGATCTGTTGGTATGGGAAGCGAAGGGACACGACCTATAACCTAGGTATCTGAACAGACCCCATGTTGCGCCGTAATTAGGTATACATATCCATCATCTTACCACCGTTGGTAAACATAGGTAATAAACAAGAAATAATAACAACCTTACACTAACGGTAAATTAATAAAATAAAAACCATCATTATTATTAAAATCATCATCAAACTTGGGTAGACGAACAACAACGGGGCCTGCTCAAACCCACCTCACCACTGAAACCTGTTAATCGCCTCCGTCCTAACGTACCTAGTCTCGTAATCTGTTTGTTACTTGTAGGGTCATAGGCTCATAGGTCTACCTACCTTGTACACTTGTGTCGTAGGAAGGTAGTAAGTAGTAGTAGCTACCTTAGTTAAATTACTACTATAGCTTGCAAAAGCCTCTAATTTGGTATCTCCCAACTGCTGGATCAGCTGTCAACGATGATGATCTCTTCCTATGCATCTCAAGCTGTTTCATCTTCCTCTTGCATCTCCCTCCTTTTTCTTTGACCTTTTTGTCTTTTCTTCTTCTTCTTCTACTTTCTCCCTCGTGATCCCGTATTTCCCTTCTTATCTTCTCGTTGGCATTATCTTATGCGATAACTTCGAGTCTCTTCTACTCTTTATACTATCCTACCCAGACCCTCTTCATTCGGTGAAGACTCTCATCTGATACTATACTCGAATCGTAACATAAAGACTCGTTCTACCATTGACACATTCTAATTCCATTCTTTCATCTGTTAGGAGGTCTCACTTGGTTACTACACGATATTCCATTTCTCAAAATCTTCGCCTTTCCGTCCAGTGTTTTGATATTGTCATTATCTCCGTCTTGCCAACTTTGCGCTATTTGGTGGTTTACCTTGCAAACGTCACACGGCTAAACTGTGCCATCTACCCATCTTTGCTAGAACCTTGGGGCTAGCAGGGTAAGAAAGTTTGCGAGACTGATTGTCTGTCTCAAGTTGTCTTTGTTTCGGGAGGAATTCTGCTTTGTCAGTCAACGTTTTATATCATCCTAGACTATCATTCCTTCTTTGCTCTTTCTGGGTTTACCGATCGACGAACACATCGAAGGTAACCTCATCTGGCCGGTCAGCCAGTTCACCAGGGAATCTTTTCCTCGATTGCATATGCATTCTTTTGGCTCATAGCCCACAACCATTGCAGGCTGAGTCTCTCCATTGCGAGTCGCGCATATGATTGCGTTACAAAACCAGGCTTTCTACCCTCCTGCCAAAGTGGATATCTCATTGCTTCTGAAGCCGCAAGATGAGGAAGAAGCCGCCTCGGTGACTACTACGTCCGCCTTCCCTTCGAGGACCCTCCCTCCAGCTTCCATAGGCCCAGCAATACCTGTCGCAGCCTCGACGCCTTTGTCATCCGCGCCGCCTCTTACCGCAAAAGTCCCAGCATCCGTCCCTGCCAAGCGTCTACAGCCAGCCCATACAGCCGAGTCTCCGGCCAAGAAGCAATCGAAGTGGTCCCCCGAGGAAGATGCACTCATCATAGAGTTGCGGGGTAGCGGCATGAAGTGGGAGGACATCAGTAAACGGCTCCCGGGGCGAAGCGCTATCAGCTGCCGTCTGCATTATCAGAATTACTTGGAGCGCCGAAGCGAGTGGGACGAGGACAAGAAGAACAAACTTGCAAGATTGTACGAGAGGTGCGTTTCTGAAGAGACTGGCTCTGTCTACTCAGGCGGAGAGATTTTGATTTTGGAGAAAATTATGAAAGCTGGGAAGATGATTTGCTGACTAGGACAATGTAAAGGTTCAAGGCAGAGATGTGGTCGAAAGTAGCAGAAGAGATGGCCATCCCATGGAGAGCCGCGGAGGCTATGCATTGGCAGCTAGGGGAGCAAGAAATGGCACGCCGGGCTGGCGTAGTCCCATTTTCGTTATCGAGTTCAGCCATAGATCCGCCAGCGACCAGGGTTCGCAGGGCAAGTACATCGTTATCTCGCCCAAGAAAAGGATCCGCATCACGTACTATTCCTCCGCCCCAACTTCCGTCAGTTGAAGAACTTACCGCCGGTGTTCCTGCGTATGCGCCAGCCCCGCCGTTTCCCTTACCGCGAGACGCCTATCAATTTGGCCGTCCTCTGGACTTGAGCGGCAGCCATAGTGGCCATTTAGGACCTCCCTATGGGTTGCCGCCTCGAACGCTGCCATAGCGGAATCGAAATGATATGAAAGTCTCCTTTTCCTCCTCGTTTTCCTTTTTTTTTTCGCTTTTTTTCCCGGATATTTCTTTCCCTTTGTTTTGGATTCCGTGTTGTTATGATATGCATAGCGCAGGTTGAAGGTGTTCCTCACTATTTGTGAGGGGAGTTCTCATAGAAATGATCTCCGTGATCCCCTGGCTTTCTGTTACTGAGCGTTTCCAGGAGGCTTTCAACTCAACGAATTCTCTTTTGTCATCACCACCATATATGGTGGATGTTATATGCAATACACATGAACAGAAAAAGAGAAGGTGGGTGGGGGGATATGCAAGGAAGAGGCTTCGAGGCTGGTTCTCGAAGTCCCAGGTTACGTCGATCAAGCACAACTGTCTTCTACTCATCTGATCGTGTCGCAATCGCCCACCAGTTGTCTTTTTCATAGCCCGAATCCAGAACACGGCCGCCTGCTCTCTCAATGTCGCATTCCAGTTCTGTTGCCTCATAGAGGTGATAATACCGGTGGAAAGTCTTCGGCTCATCGTCAGGGCTACCATTGGCAGGCTTGGACTTCAAGACCCAGGGAACCATTACGTCCTGTTTGTCGCCTTTGTCCCAGCCCCTGCGGCTGGTCTTTTGTTCCAAAGCCCAGACATACAGCAGGACTCTGCCTCCGGAAGATTTATCAGAGGCAGGTTTCAAAGTGCGGAGAATCTCGCGGATAGCCTGAATTCTTCGTTCAGGTGTGGACAGATGGTGTACAACAGCAATTGAGATAGCGAAATCGAATAACGAATCTGGATGTGGCAGATTCAGGATGTCCGCTACGATAGTTGAATGTGGCTGGTGTTTGACGGCGATTCGGGCGAGATTCTCGGAGCTGGCTGGCGTTAGCTATTGATCGTTTGAATGTGGCAGAGGACGAGACATTGCGAAAGGAAGTGACAATGAATGAACAAATATATATACAAGATTCGGAACGAATATCGCCCGGAGCATTCTACAAACACGTTCATGAAGTAGCAAATAGCAGAACATCTGATAAAGACCTACCGATCCGAGCCGACTATAAAAACGTCCTTATTTACAGACAAGTACTTGCCATTGCCGCACCCCACATCGAGACCAATAGACCCCGGTGCCAATCCATTGAGGAAGCGTTCCACAATCGGCCATGGCTATTAGACAGATAGAGAGCACGTTCAGTATCAGTTTATGAATGTATCGGTAACAAGTAGGGCGTGCTACACACCTTGTAACGGGTCGAGGAGAAGTGCTCTGCTATCTGTTGATACACTTCATGTACATTTTTCTCTTCATAGGCCTCTTCATCGGGCAGATTTCCCGTAGAATCGGGAAAAGATGACGATGCCATTTCGGTCGGGTTCTCTCTTGTTACGACAGGTTCGACTTAAGAATCCCTCACATGCGAAATCGGGAGGGACCAGGATTTTCTTGTTCTGTCTCGTTGCAGCAGGGGTACACGCAGTTATCGTAAGAGAACATAGAGTATCATTAATTGAGGTGCATCTGCAGATTGTGCCGCCAAGACGTGCAGTTCTGGTAATTCAGATTTCAAACCAAGCGGTAATTTTCTGGCATCCCATCAAGGTAAGATTAAGGTTGTGTGCTGGCCTTGCTGCTGATGCGCCTTTCGGAGAATTTCTGAATCAGCAGCTGCTGTCAGGCTGATGGTAGCTACGTACCTTATCTTTTGCGTAGCAGACTAATAGTAATAGTCTGTAGTGTTGCGTGCAAAGTCCTAAAATTCAGTCCTTTCCCACTTGTTTGATCCCAGTGCCTTAAGGCAGCATCAATCCATGCAACTGCTATCCATGATATACAACTTTTCGAATAACCAGCGGCCGGAGATTTTATATCCCTGTCTCGAATAAGCCAAATTGTAGCTAGCACATCCTAGATCAGGTAGATATGGACTTACTCCGTACGTGGCGTATGGATTGGCATGGCTTGGTTGGTAAAGTCATTCATTATGAAGTATGGCCCATGTCATCAGCCCCAACCTCAAGTGGTCAATACGTCTATGGTTGATGGATTAATGTATGTAAGAGTCTCTCATTAAAATCTATGAGAGCTCGAGATAACTCAGTCTGGTCTTACAGTTCATCTGATAGTTTTGGGTCAATCCCGACCATCACCATGCATATTGTAGCCTGAGGCACACACTCACGCCTTAAGGTGGCCAAGAAATGGAATAATTGAGTTGGGCTCCACATGCTTTCTGTGCACCGTTTTGGAGTCGAAACACCAAACACAGCTTGATATGGTCGAAGTGCGAATTCTCTAGTCCCGGTGAAATATATATATCGTTTGTGAGTGACCTGAACTCCCATTGTCGTTCTCTGTCCTTGCCTTGTCCCTCAACGAAGACCTGGTACGTTAAAGGGGATTAAGCCCTTGGTCGCTCTGAAGCCTATTGTTTGGTTGCTGTGTAGCGGTACCTTTCATTATATCGACATATCTCTGGCACTCTACGAGAATAACTCGCTCTTTGTCTCTTGCTCGAGCATCAGGAAGTTCCCCATTCCAAGTCATTGTGATTCTCATGGCTTTATATGTTCGCGTTGCCTGCAATTCGCCTGCCACCATGTGACCAATAGGCATATACCATGACTTCAATTTGGATTCCTTCATTGTAGAACGTATATAGAACTCAGACATTGGCTGACTTCCATTCATAGTTGATCTGCTCAAATCACATTAATGATGGCATTCCAGCCCTCGCCGACAGATGTCTCCGTCATCATAACCACGCCCAGTACGGCAACTGGTTCCGAACCGCGCTTCCTGACGGAGCGTCGTGTCACTCCGACTTGGACTGTCCTGCAGCTGAAATCTAAGCTGGAGACGATGACTGGCATCCCCACGAGCAGCCAACATCTACTATTGAAGGCACCCGGACGTGCTGATCAGTGGGTAGATGGAGATGACGGTATCATCGGCAACTGGGGTCTCATGAAGGGCTGTGAGATTGAGGTATGCACCGTCTTTTCATCTACCTCTTTCCCGATCCAACAATTTCGACCCATGTACGCGCTCGGACTCGGACGGTCCCGGTTATTCATCGTTCATCTTGAATGGCCGGTCTGTCAGGTATCTGACGACCACAACTCAATGCTTCTTGACTTGTTTGTCTTTCCTCCAGGTTGGGATTCCAGCCAGCTTCAGATGAATGCAACACCATTGAATCGGCCTCAAGTGGCTGTCAGATGCCTGACAGCGGGTGACTCGCTATTTCAGAGCAAGCAGCCGACCAGCACATTCTATTGATATTTGCTGAATGATAGCATCATTTCATAGGTTCACGATACCCGCCCTCAAGCCGCACGGCCTAATTTCAACGATTTGTCCTCCGTGGAGAAATATGTCCTCCCCTCAGCCACGTATGAGTCACTTCCAAACTCGGTTCTAGCCTGGAAAAAGAACCAGAAACTCGGTAGATTCGACCCAAAGGCTCTGTCACCGAAGGAATCGATGCAAAAGCAGGCAGAGAAAGATAGCGAGGATGTTCGCGTTCGGGGTAGGTCATGAAGAAATGGCGATACCGGGTTGAGCGACGGCTCGGCGATACCCGGCCATATAGAAGAATATTCAGATCATATACTGATCGAGGAATGACAGGCATCGCCGTCTCCCGACGTGCTATTATTCTTCCGTCATCGCCCCCACACGTTAGGCGAGGCACAATACGCTATGTTGGGCCAGTGCCTACGATACCTTTCTCTGGAGTGGATGTCACATCCCAAGAAACTTCCAACTCTGGTCCCCAACCTATCTGGGTAGGAATCGAACTCGACGAGCCTACTGGAAAGAACGATGGTAGCATAGGTGGCAGACACTATTTTACTTGTCCCAACAATACGGGCGTCTTTGTGAAACCCGAGAAGGTGGAAGTGGGAGACTTTCCCCCATTGGATTTGTTTGATGACATGGACGATGAAATGGAGGAAATATGAAAATACTTTCCTTATCTCAGCCGAGCAAGTAGTCCAGCAGGAGAGAATCACAGAAACAGAGAGACAGTGGGAGAAACGCTAGCATCGGTCTGGCACAATAAGTTTCTATTCAAGACAATATATCCAGTTATACCAAGCTCCCGCTCGCAATCGTTGTGCTCATTCGCCGGCAAATAAGAGATGGACTGAGAAGGAAAGGGGAAGAATCTCGCAGAATAAACCCGAACACCGTCGTTCCCGTACCCCATGCTGGTGAATCGCTACACTGAAAAGGGCCAAAGCCACGAAATGAATACAAATACCCAATATGGAAGAAAGCTTCTACAGCATTTCAACGGGAAAATAAGGAGGAAGTAGGAAAGTGCACTGCGAACACGCTCGCAGTGGGTCCCGTCCCACAGGAGTGACCGAAACCCAGGAAAAAAAAAAAAAAAAGATCATGAAGCTTTAGATCCACTTCCTGCCTTTTGCTTGCCTTTCGGCCTGCCTTTGCCGGTACCGTTTGGGCGACCCATTTGCGTTGTTGACTCGTCCTCAGTTGTGACAGCTGGCTTGGAAGCTGATCCGGGGCTGGACTGGTCATTCTCCACCGGAACACAGCCTTGCGTAAAGAAGAGCCGAGCATCCTTCCCATGCGTGTTCGCAAAGCTGTAATAATTGCCTGCAACCCAGGAAAACGCTAATCAGCATGCGCAATGAAAATTCAAAGGAGCTAGACACAAGGCGAGCACGTCCTGAAGAGACTCCTTACCTCTTGGCACTTGAAATACACAGCCCTTTCCGGCGCTGAATTGCACGCCGGATATGTCTACCTGGACCCGTCCGTGACACACGTAGAAGACCATGTGCATCTTCTTCGAGTTCTTGGGTTTCTTGACACCCCCTGGGGGCAGTTCGACGATTCCAGAGCCGATGAACGGGGAGCTCAGCAGCTTAGCAAAGCGGAAGGTGGAGTCTTTGACATCTCTCGTCTCGATACCGGACGGAGCATAGGCGATATCTACAATTACCCTGGGTCAGCGTACTTCGGTGATTCAACAGCCAGGCGACCAGAGAAAAAGGCAAGCATTCAAAAGTACTTACCGAGGACTTCCTCTTCGATGGAACCGGCTTGGGTATCTGGATCCCATTTCCTAACATAGCCATGCAAGACGCCGCCTTCTTTCTCCCACGGATCGACGTAATCATCGTCTTCATTGTCCGAATCATCGTCTCGGCTCTTCCGCGACTTGGATTTCTTGGATGACCGCCGTTTACTGACTTTCCTCTTCTCCGGTTCCAGTTCCTCAGTTCTGATAATCTCTTTGATAGTCGAAAGCGGATAGCGCTGGCCTTCGGCGGCCTCGCCGTCTCCATAAACGCACCTCTCATTTTTCCAGTAGGCAAGCGGTCTAACAGAAACTCGCCCTGATCGAGTGTGGGTTGCGCTGCCATCAGTGGGTATTTCCCGCTTCAGTATGTATAGGCTCCGACCCTTTAGGGGCCCCGTACGATTGACATAATTTTCCACAACTTTGTCTAATTCTGGATTTCCGGAGCTCTTCAACCCCCGTCCAGTCTGACTGGCAGTCTTCGATTTCTTGGAAGGTCGTTGTCCCACGGTATCCTCATCATCACTGTTCCTTCTTTGCGATTTTGGGGGTCTCCCAGGGCGCTTTCGTTTCTGTACATTTCCTTGCTCGCTCGTCTCATTTTGCTGCGTGACTTCTTGGGCCCGAGATTTCTCAGATTGTGCAAGTTTCTTAGTCTTGGGGACGGCTCTTGATCGCTCTGTTTTGCGCGAACCGGCAGCTGTGTACGACGAAATATCCACGTCGACACCATCAATGCGCTCGAACTCATCCTGTTGATCTTCCGCCAGAGTGTCGTCGCCAGCGTTGAAACTGTCGTCGTAATTGTTTCGCATCTGCTCAAATGCATTCGCATTTTCGTCTCCGTTCATTTGACTATTAGCGTCACTGTCTGAGAAGTCAACTGTGACCGTGGTTTCTGCCGTCTTGTTGATTCCTTTATTATTCCGTAGGCCATTGACATGGTTTAGAGAGGGCGCGTTGATGGAACGGTTGGTAAGAGGGGATACGTCACGCCGTGTTTCCCCCTTAGCACTCCCAAGCCCCTTACCATCTGACGGACTGGAAGAGAGACTGTCACGTTGCGGACTTGCAGAAGATCGCAAGCCGGGAGTCCGCCGCGGTGATCCACTCAAGCCGGATTTCATGGGAGATCGCGCAACCGGGGGCGGGAGGAAGGATGCGCGCCCCCCGTTCGTTCCATTCAAGAAGTCAGCGGGCCCAAGCCCATTGCCTGTGACCAGGCACAAGATTAGTATGGTCGTGGACAAATCGGAAGAAATGAATCACACACCTTCATCCATGGACATTCCATCTGATCCAATCGTAGTGTTGTTGCCATATGCTCCTTCAGGTGACTTTTCGGGAGACGAGAAAATCCCATCAATCTCCTCCATTCCATGCTCGTCGAGCTTGCCTTCTTTTAAGGTGACTCCCGTTCGTCTACATCCCGTGCGATGGTCAGGGTTCCCTTGCCGAAATGACGGAGGATTCCTAAGGAGACATGCCCCTGCATTACTTACCTCCCAGCTTTCCCGACGTTAGAATAGTCATAGTCGCGAGTTTTCGCAGGCCCGCGAGGAGCCATCGTTGCGGAGGTTTAGGAGTAGTGGTGCGGGAAACAGTTTCACCGAATTATTGGAGCGATGTACGGGGCCAGCAGCGTCCGATGCCAGAATCTCTGTTCCGTGAAGCTTTGCGAGTAGGACGATGTATCTCATGTAGGAAACCCCTGTGCTTCGTGCACTAATAGGATGTTGAGAGAGGGGAATTCAAGCGTCGGGCAAGAGTAGAGATGATGGTTGCTTGGGAGGGGAATTGCATTGGAATTCATGATGGGCGGCGAACAACGCGCGGAAGTGCCGCTAGTCCGGAACGGTTCTTGACGCGTCCGAAACTCCCCCAGTGCAACCGCCAGGCCATACAACTATGTGAGTGTCTTCCAACATTTGCTGCTAAATTAATCTAAATCTGCCTCTTCTTGAGCTTCTTTCTTCTTCTAGACTTTGGACCTGCTGCGAGTATGGAAGAATCCGGCCTGAGTGTCGCCGATGCTCCAGATGCATCTACCTCCGCGGGCTCTTTCATCCCTCCCAGCGTAGATCGCGCTCGACTGCTATCTGGAGAGTCTTACGCTTACTATACTTCATTTCCTCCCGCAAGTACAGAAGGGTCTTCGCAGGTCGCTGGCGACCATCACACGACCACAGCGGATGCTTCCCCGCCATCCGCATCCCGGTCACCAAGCTATTTTGTACTGGGCGTCGACGAAGCGGGACGTGGTCCAGTTTTGGGTCCCATGGTATACAGTGCCTTTTATGTTCCGCATACTCTCCATCACTCCCTCCTGGCTCGCGACTATAGCTTCAACGATAGTAAAGTTCTCACTCCCGGTGTGCGCGCTAACTTGATGCGGCTGCTCTGCACCGATGGAAATCCTCTCCATGCATCGTGTGGCTGGGCGACCAAAGTCTTATCTGCGCGGGATATCTCGGCAGGCATGATGCGGCCTGCATCTGGTGCGTATAACTTGAACGCACAGGCGATGGATGCCACTGTTGAAATTATACGTGGCATTGTGGAGGAGCGCAGAGTAGACATCAGAGAGGTCTACATTGACACAATCGGGAATCCAGCAACCTATCAACAGAAACTGGAGCGCATTTTCCCCACATTGAAGATTACAGTCGCGAAGAAAGCCGACTCTCTATACCCTTGCGTAAGCGCTGCGAGTGTTGTTGCCAAAGTCACGAGAGATGTGGCACTGGAGTTCTGCCACGAGGCCCTCTACGGACTTCAACGATCTGAAGCGCCATCGCTGGGGATGGCCACAGACAGCTGGGGAAGCGGGTATCCTTCAGATTCCAAGTGCGTCAGCTGGCTCAGAAACCATATGGACCCCATTTTCGGATGGGGCAACGAGTGCCGATTTAGCTGGGGGACTGCAAAAGAAATGCTTGAACTCAAGGGTGGAACTAGAGTCGATTGGCCGGTCGAAGAGGAAGGCACTGCACCCATCAAAGACTTTCTGCTTACCACCGCAAGAAATGCAAAGAGAACTGAGCAGGATGAATTGCAGGAATGGTTTGGTCGCCGGTCAATGGAGGTGCTTTGAAAAGGGCCCGCCCATCCATTTGGCGGCTTCAATAGGGAAGAATGGTGAACGTTATGATACCCCGATTGAATCAGATTCTAAACATGTCAAGGCAATTCACAAATAACAAAAGTTCCAGTAGTGACCACAAGTCCCCATGGGTATCTCCTTGAAACTCCTTGTGAAGCGCGCATCACACATCAAATGAGACTTTCCAAAACGCCGAATCACCTTCGCAATTCAGATGAACAGGAAGATTACACAAGCAGCCATTCATCCTGTAAATCATGGACCTGCATGGCCTTTTAAGACAAAACTGGAAACCAATCTAACGAAGGGCAAGAACAGGGTAAAAGGCGGGGATACGCAATGAAAGAATGAGACTTCACAGCGTTGCAGTAGAGAAATAGAAGTTCTCCCATAAGTATTCATAGTCTTCGATGACGCTCCCCACCAAATCAAGCAGCGGTTTACCTTTCATCTTGCCGGTCAACCCCTTTAGCCAAGACCTAATCAGCGTCAGCTCGTCGTTCCCTTCACCTCAAGTGAAAGGCTAGGGATTGCATACTTGGTAATGTTCTCATAAAATGCACCGCGCATAAGCCACCAGCCCATGGCCCAGCCTCGCTTTCTCAGTTCCTCGCGTTCAAGCCCTGTGAGGCCGCGAAGGCCTCCTGCCACCCGCTCGCGGAAATCAGACTTGGCAAGTTGACGACAACCATACTCCATAGCAAAGCCCATCAACCAGGGCCTCCAGCTTCTCTTGTCGCGCCGCCATCTTTGCAGCGCTAGTGCATAGATGACCGGCCGCAGGATGTATAGCACTTCTGCTAATT